CTAGTGGCAACTACTCTGCCAAATGCAACCCTACGAAACGGTAGAGAATTACCAGTGATAGCACTGCTTTAATATCCATAACGTTGGCAACCTTGGCTATCGAATCTGACAGCTCGGCCATTTTGACCGATTCCTGAAAGGAGAGCTGCAGCCTATTTTACCACGAAGGAATATATCCGGAAAAATAAAGGACACTATTGGAGTTTACAATTTATATGTTTTTCAACAAGGAACCTAACTCCTTAAACACTAATCCAAACTCTTCAAGGTCAAAAATTCTTAATCTCGAGGGAAATTGTAAGTATCATCACCACATTTTATGCATAGGCGATTAGAACATCGAAACTTTTTCTTCGAGAGCAACCTTGATAAGAAATTGGGAATCTATTTCTGATTATTTTCAAGCATCATCGACCAAATTAATTAATTTTCTGCATTTACCATAAATATAAAAGATTTAAAAAAAAATCGTGTCTTAAGTCTTTCGTTTATTCATTCAGCTTTTATGAATATTTATAAATTAGGCACTCCGCACATTAAGCTCCTGATCATAGTAGTGTAATCGTTTCGGTATACTAAAGTATACACCTTTTATGCCGAACACATGTATTTCAATGAAGCTCTGTACATTACGATTCAAAATCATGTTTTCGCCTGATCATAAAAGCTTCATGAATCGAAGCGCCCAACATTGTAAGGCGCTTGCAGTTTTGAAATCATCATTTGTTTACTTTTTTGTGTTGGAATTAAAATTTATTTGTCAATTCAATAGAAAATAATTGAAAATGAATGATTTCGTTCTAAAATTTGTGCAAATTGTATTAAACCACAAGCGTTTATGCAATATTTCGGAGCAGAAATATTTGCGGAAGTGCGTAGTTGCGAAAGAACGGCCAGAAAATTTGTTATGTGTAGAAAGTGTTTATTAGCTGGTGACTTATGCACGGCGTGCAAGTATACAGAACTCGAGTCGTCATGCATTCGCTTCGGCATGACGAAACGATTACTCTACTTTGATTAGGAGCGTAATGTGCCGAGCAAAGTAAACAACGTAATAATTTTCCAAATGAAAGTAACTTGAGTGCGAATTTATCAATATCTATTAAATTGCCTAGTTTTTGGGAAGATTGTCCGGAAGCATGGATTCTCCTTGTGGAAGGACAATTCGAAATTAACAATATACATGATGATAATATCAAATTTTAAAATGTTTTAGTTCTTCAAAGAGAGTCAATTTCTAACATTATTGATGTTATCAATCCGCCTCCTTTGATTAACAAATATGAAACAATTAAGAAAGATTTATGTGAAAGATTTTCTCTTAGCGAAAAGAAGAGGTTAGAACAATTATTTTCAAATGCCGAACTAGGTGATCGTTCACCATCAGAACTTTATAGACATATGAAATCTTTAGTAGGTCCCAAATCCATAGTCAGAAAAGAACTTTTATATAAATTATTGAGTAGGAAGTTACTGTGATGACTGTATGTGTACGATTGCGACTTTCATCTCTAGGCGATTAATTTGAATAACGCTTAGTCTTGAACACGTTCTGTTTCAGCCATTATTAATAAAGATCTGGTCTTGTAAGCATCAGTTGGCACTAACGCTTTTTATTGAACCTACAACAACATGGTGTAGCCGGTAGTTTAATTCCAAGTACCCCTTTTGAGCATCGTTGGTTCGGGCATTAATATAGACTCCTGCCGAAAACCAGTGCAACAAGAGCGTGTATTGAAACCCAGGAGGGCTAAGCAATAAAAGCAAAGCGAGTTCCAAAAATCTGCTCGAACACGTGTTTGATGGAAAGTCGCAAGACAAAAAAAACAACAGGTGAAGACACGTGGAGTTACTGTTCCGACTATGATTCAAGAGAAGAAAAACCTGAAATAATGGAAACTTCGATGAAGACACCACCACCATTGACATTCGATGGCAACACAAAGGACAAATGGAAGAAATGGAAGCAGAAGCTCGACCTTAACATGAAAGCCCCGGGGCTGGACAAAAAAGAGGAAGACCGCACGTAATCGGGGAAGAGGCACTCGAAAAATATAACACCTTTGGACTAAGTGAGGCGGATGACAAGAAACTGAATGCAGTGATTAAAGCATTTGAGGATTTCTGCTCCCCGAAAGCAAACGAGTGGCGCAACAAAGTGGTGAACATTTTACAAATTACTCAACAGACTTAAAAACGCTAAGTGCGTACGTACCGGAATGACTCGGGTTTTACCCGATCAAGGGCTGTGTTTTCGGCGATCTAACCGGGTTTAGGTCGCCGAAGTATCTCAGAAGTTGTTCGTCCATAGGTCTACATTTGCTAAGCATTCTTCTGCTCAGGGCTGGATCGAGTCAAACCCAGGGCCAGAAACCTACACCTGCTGTGTATGCCAAAGACGACTACACCACAACTCCACCTCAGTCAAGTGAAATGCTTGAGACGGGTGGAGTCACCTCAGAGTCTACTCAGGACTGCGGACGTATCGCCAGTGGACCACATCATTTGTGGCCCCCTGCTGCTCAAACAGAGAAGCCTCCACGGCTACCTCCAGTCCACCTGAGCAGCTCAACACAAACACCACAACACAATAGATCACTCCACAACCGCGACAGACCACACAACAGACACAACCACACCTGCACCCACACGCCGCCTTCAACAACTCTTGGTTCCTCCTACAATCTGCACGGTATGTCAGACCAGGATATTCCGTAACGTGACATCAGTCAAGTACAACACCTGCACTACGCGAGATTGGACGAGGAACTTCGAGGGCCCGTGTTGCGCCGCTCGGTCGCAAACTTTTTAATATTTACATTAACGACATAAATATGGCACTCAAGCACTGTAAGTTAAAACTGTTCGCTGCTGATACACTGTTAACGATCAGTGACAGAAACTTACAGACTGCGATGACTAAAATGCAAGAAGACTTGGATTCTTTGTACAAATGTTTGTGTTTAAATAAACTTAAGTTGAATGTAAAAAAGACACAGTTCATGATCCTCACTAGAGCAGTTAATCTTGGAACCACCAGTTACAATTTAAAAATCAAAGAGGAAGAAATTGAGGAAGTTAAACTCATTAAGTACCTGGGTATATATATAGATAATAAACTTAAATTTGATGAGCATGTTGAGCATACAGTGAACAAAATTGCGAAAAAATTGGTCTTATGAAAAGATCTTGTAAGTATCTGAGAAGAAGGTATAAAACCCTGGTCTATAGATCTATAGTAGAACCACATTTTATATACTGCCCAACAATCTTCTTCTTAGCAAGCGACGCAAATATCAAGAAATTGCAAAAAATGCAAAATAGAGCTATGAGGTTCATATTAAATAAGCGTTACGATACACCTACACAGGAGATGATCACAGATATGAATTGGTTGAGTGTTAAGCAACAGGTTTTCTATCATGCTATGAAATTCGTATACAACATAAAGAACGGTAAACTTCCAGACTATCTGAGCGACAATCTTCGGTATATAAATGAAACTCATTCATATATACTCAGGGAAAACAATTGCTTTAGACTCCCACTTTATAGAACAGAGGTAGACAAAAAAAATATATTTTATAAAGGTTTAAAGTGTTTTAATGAGTTACCGCCACATGTAAAAGACTGTGAAAACTTTGTTGCTTTTAAAAGACAACTATTTGATCACTATAAAACTCTGGCTATTAGGTAGGAGAGCACGGAACGGAATGGAAACCAGGCCTTTCCATCCGACCAAGCAGCAAATGATCTAGCATACGAAAGCTTCCGACTATGCCCAACAGCCCGACCATAACGCGGAGCGGAAACTAGACCTTTCCGCCCGCCTCACATCACGGAATCCAGCGTCAGGGTTTGCATATTAATGACGACGGGAACATGGATCGGAGACTCGGCCTTTCCGACCGTGACTATCAACTCGTGAGCAACGCGGAGCGGAAACAAGGTCTTTCCGCCTGCTGCACATAGTACATATTTAAAGGTAGACTGGAGACTAGGCCTCGCCAGCTACCAAACTAGTTAGACAATATACATTTATATAGGTTATTTGATAGTTTTAGAAACATAAACAGCTTTGTAATTGAAAATTTAAACTTACATATACGCATACTTTGTTATATATTAAAAATACCTATCTGTACTTTTAAGTCGCAAGACTGTAACAAATAAATAAATAAAAAAATTGCGACGTCACCCACTACCACCACAGGACGGCAACCTCCACAGCAGCGCACACATCCAATGGCGGCAAAGCCACACACATCCCTCACACCCCGCATAACTACACGTCTCCCGAACCACATGAAGCTCCTTCAATTTAGTTAAATAAACGTAACGTAACGTATTTAGCTACAATTTAAAGTATTTTAGTTTTGGAAAAACTACTACTATCTGGAAAATCCTAACAAATAAATTTGAAAATTCGTGGAAAATAGTACCAAATTGTCACTTTAGGCCGTGTGGGTAACTTTTTGGATAGTTGCATTAAACAACTGTGTACGCCATTCGCTTTCGCGGCTTATTCTTCATGAGGTTGGATATTTTTTTTTCTTTCTTGTGTAAAATGAATGTGTTTTCATATAAGGATCTAAAGTTATAGCAAAACAGTCTTATAAATCGCGGTCCTCGGAGTAGCTCATTCAGTTTTTGCAATAATGAAATTGTTTTTCCATTTGGTTACGTCTTTAGCGTCCTATTTTCATACTCTGCTGCCGGAGGGAGGATCTGAAATACTTTAGCAAAATGTATGGAGAAAATAAGGCATCTAATGTACATAGCGACCCCTAACCGCCAAAATAACGTAAGCGACACTGTTTTAAAAATTTTCCTTTTGATGCAGAAATATTCCTAGAGCATCCAGACGCATTTCTGCATCAAAAAGAAAATTTTGAAAAAAATGTTTGGCGGTTAGGGTTCGATACAATTACTTTATATTTAAATATGTCATACAACTTTTAATTACCACAATTTTGATGTTCCTTCTTTTTCATCCACAGGTGGAAAGTGGTGGTGCGAGAGTGGCGCAAGTTTCAGCAAGAAATTTTAGTTTCGAGCATCTGATAGTTAAAAGTTGGCACTGTGAGAGAAATATGAAAAATATTCATACGAATAGTATATGCTGGATACACTAAAGAGGATACAAAATTAAGAAAGTTATAATCTATTGATCGTTCCATTAAAAGCTTCAGTATAAAGGGGTAAACATTGAATAAATTATATTGACTTCACCGTTATACTAAATAAAAAAAAATTTATGCCATTGGAAAATACTTACAACGTATTATATTATGCTAACGCCCAAAATCATAGAAATTACCACCATAAAACGACAATTAACCCAAACTTCAGCTACTTCTTGTGATCAACAAGTGCATATTAATATTGAAAGGGAAGTAACCAAATCCCCGTTATAGATTGCCGTTATCTGAGTACCTTCGGTACGTATACGGGTATATTTGACGCTGGTCGTTTAAAAGTTGTTACGTAGATAACAGAGAATAAGTAGTTTTACTGCAACCGAACTAACAACTCGTATTTAAGAAAAACGAAAAAGAGATTTTATTTGAAGCTAACGTCAAAAAGCAACACACCAATAATTATAGATACATATTTACATATATGTATATAGAAAGCATATAAAGATCGCCAAAACCAACATTACACTATTTTTTGCAACAATATCATGTCCGATCTTGGCAGTGGCGACGAAGGCATTTCTGGCTCAAGTAAGTTACATAATCAATAACACGTGCAGATTTAAACACATATAATTTAAAATATTCACTGCACTGTATCTTCAAATTACGCCAGCTCTTCGATTTTTTGATTTCTAGTATCAAGTCTTCCGTATGATAAATAATTTAATTTTCGTTAAGTCTTTTGTGTCTGTGCATTGCCTCTATGTATACACATACATATTTAGGGCGTGTGCGAATCGGTGACAAAGTTCTATGGGGAAAGCTGTTGAATAATACTTTTACTATGGTGAGACAGTTTTGCCAATCTGCTGTGTGAAATGAAATCTTTTTTGACAGCAGTAAATTTTTGATAGCCGCATATTTATGCGGAATAAAATATTACAAATTGAGGTGAAATTAATATTTTAAGAAAACATCTACCATCGTTGATTGCAACTCATCAATTTAAGCTTTTGTTTAACGAAAAATTACACATATCAACAATCTTTGCGATTGTGAAAATATCCTATGATTTTGTCGAAAATTTCACTAGCCTCATGAGCTACTGAAATTTTATTCACCTCATAGTAGTCAAAAATTTACTCGCGAACCTTGTTACCGATTCACACACGCTCTCACACATACTATTATCCAAAGAGTCATGTAATTAAAAAAAACTTCTTTATAATTTTTGACGCTATAGAAAAGCGTTTCTAAAACTGTGGTAAGCGTTCTACTGGTAGTACCTACGCGATGCATTCAAAGGTGGTTTGTGGTGGTTTGTAAAATTCAACATGATCACATTTAGTCCATCGATAAGCAACATAGAGCCCCTAACTCAGCAGACTTTACTCGGGTTTCAGTAGGTGCACACATTGCTCATTTATTCAATATATTGCATAAAAGTGTATGTGAAATTTCACATTATGAAATTACTTTGTTGCATTTAGGATGTATTTAGAAAAACATGTATATGAAGTTCATTCTGAGCTTTTTACTAGAGCTAATAAAACTTGTTAACGACGATATGAGGCAGGAGAAAACATATTCTGCTGCCCTGAAACTAATGTCCCCAATTCTGAATGACAACTCTCGGGGATTTTTTTTTCTCTTTCTTCCAATTCTAAAAGGCAAATGTCGGGGATTTTTTTTCTCTTTTCCCTTTCCTCCTATTTCAAATAAACTTCTAAAATAGGAACTTGTTTCTCGCGTAAAAAGTAGTTATTACGAATGTAAAAAAAGGGAGATTGTTAAGATATTTCTCGAGAAATTTTCCGCCAAGAAATTTGAAGAGAGTCCTTATCAAAAATATAAGTAACTAAATTTTTGCTAAGCAAATTAATATTTTTTATTATTTTCTTTTATTGAAATGATTATTAATATCATTATTATTACACCCACGTCAAAAACAACAAATAAACAACACATTGAGCTGCTATTATTTTTCAAATGACTGTATATACATATGCACACTAATATCAAAACATCAGTCCGATTTACACTATGCATGGGGCAAATGTGTGTAAAAGTACTGCAGGTGGACAATATTTTACAAGAAATTTAAATTTTTTTTCTTGATTGAAATTCTTGGAAAAAGGTAGTATGTACAATAGGGTGGTCCAAAAAAAGTAAAGTCGAAAATTTAATGCTCTCACCCCCTAGGATTGTTCTATACCGAAAAAAAGTATACCCCTGTTTTTTTTTTTATTTTAAAATCAAAATATTTTTAGAGGTCGCTCAAAGCGCTTAAAGTTTCCCATGGCATAGAATCCATGAAAATCCAAATTTTTAAATTTGACAACTCTGCTTCTCTTCAGAAGACTTCAGAGAATAATGCCCAATTGTTTATTTAAACATTTTTTAGTTTTAACTATTTTTTAAGGGTCTCCGAAATATCCCCAAAAAAAATCAAATATACAAAAAGAAATATACAAAAGAAAAAAGAAAAATAGTTAAAACGAAAAAATGTTTAAATAAACAATTGGGCCGTATTCTCTGAAGTCCTCTGAAGAGAAGCGCAGTTTTCAGAATGAAAAATTTTGATTTTCATGGATTCTATGCTATTTCTACGAAAAGTATTTTTTTCCCCATACAAAATACATGGCAAACTTTGAGCGCTTTGAGCGACCTATAAATATATTTTGATTTTAAAATAAAAAAACAGGGGTATACTTTTTTTCGGTGTAGAACAATCCTAAATTCCGATTTTACTTGTCTCCCATACATTTTTGGACCACCCTAATGCACAATGTACATACTACATATCGTTAGAATAGTATGGAAAGGGCGTACCTCACATCGTCGCTGAAATAAAAAAAGCCTTAACTAACAAAAAATCCAAATCCAAATGAGATACGCCCTTTCCATACTATACTAACATTTATGTACTTTGTTAAGGACTGCAATTATTTTTTTTGTTCTTTTCATTCAAAAAGTTATTCATAATAAAAATGATTCTTATTGCTTTTACATTATAAAAACTGCGTTTTCATTTATTTATTTATTTCGCGCAGTGGCCAAATATTGAGTTGAGGCAAGGATATCACCTCGCTTTCTTCGGTGGTTGAACTATTTACGTCTTCCAAATCATCTTGAACAGGGTGCATTTTAAAATGGAGACGATATGTTATGTAATGCGCAACACATATTTATAATTTTAGCACTTTGAATGATCTGCATTGGATCTCATTTCAACAGAGCCTTCCTCCGGATTTCTGTGAAGAGTCAAAATCCACGGCTCCAAGGGATATATCCTTCGTCTCCTAGTAAAAAGCATTTATGTAGGGTTAAAATATTAATATTAAACAAAATTTTACCTAGCAGCCAATACTTATCTACACGCAAATATTAATGTTTTAGATGAGTTCGTCAGTCGCCGGCTATCAATCAAAGCGTTCAGACGTCGACTAGCATTTAGCAGTGTGTTAAACTCCCGCTAAACGTACAACTTTTGCTATCTTCATTGCCTTTCATTCTTGTCGTTGTGCATTGAATACACATGTGTGACCGCACATAGAAGTTAACATTGTAACCATGGCCCCGGGGTCTCCGGATAGGTCTCCGAATCGTTTTTCTGCTTTGTAAGATTTTCTGGATAGTCCTCGAAAAAGAAAAAAGAGACCCAAAGCAGGACGGTTTTCCGCAACCCCCGCAAAGATGTGTTTCACAACACAACCCGAAATTTATACGGATATCATCCGCAGACAAGAACAAATCTCTATCTCAATTAAGCCGATTCGCTATTAAAAAAAGCATAGAATCTATCTCAACAGAAATAGATTCAATTTCCTAACTCCGCGACGGTAATGTACTTGTATTAACCCGCAACGAACGAATTGCCGAAAAGTTCCTAAAAGCTAAATCGTTTTCCAATCGTAGCGTGAAACTACACGAAAGCTTAAATTCGGTAAAAGCTGTTATATACTCACCCTGCTTAAAATACGTGGCGGAAGAGGAAATAATTAGTGAAATGAAGGATCAACACGTAACTGGTGTTTATATATGCACTCGTCAAGTGGATGGTTAATCTTTCCTCACCGGGCAAATGGTCCTAACTTTTGACCTTTATCGCCTTCCTGATTCCGTTGATGTAGCATTGTACAAAGTTAAGGTACAGCCTTATATCCCGACTCCAATGCGTTGTAAGAACTGCCAGAGGTTAGGCCATATACAGAAAAGATGCACTAGCAACTCCTCGTGCTACAACTGCAACCTTCCACCACACATCCCTGAGAAGTGTATCCGAACCCAGTGTGCTAACTGCGAAGAAGAACGCCCCTCTTCAGATAAAAGCTGCCCAAAATTTATTCAAGCCAGGGAAATTCTTAAAGTTAAAACCATAGAAAAATTTAGCATGAGCGAAGCACGGCGCAAGTTCAAAAACAACATACCACTTCTTCCACGTATTAGCTCTTACGCCAGCATTACAAAGAATACCACATCCACGAAAAATGTTGCGTTCACAAGCGCAAATAGTAAAAACCCTACTGAAATCATAGTCCCAGAAGATACTTCTGCATCACCAACCCAAAAAAAAAGACAATAATGATAAACTAAACAACAAACTTCCGGATAAATCAACCTTAACTAACAACAATTCAAATAATACCAGTACACCGTCAACAAATAATTCTACCACTAAACCAACCTCTACTAACTTTTATTCAAATGAAACACATTTGCTACTGCTTTTACCAGCAATATTCCGCCTCAACAAACTCCGATGCCGACCACTCAGCAAACCTGTGCTCCACCAATCACAGGAGACTCACTATCGAAAATGCTATCAGACTGTGTGACCTATGCGTTCTAAACGATGGTAGCCCGACTCACTTCTCAACTCACTGGGTAACTATACAAAGCAAGTTGACCTTGAAATGGAAGCTCATCCCCTATCAAACTCCCCAAACCAAGAAGCAGCTAATGTGGCGAAAGCGATCCGAGTAGCAGCAAATTGTTGCATTCCACAGGCATCCCACCGTCCACAAACCCATGTTCCCTGGTGGAATAAAATGCTTTCAAATCTGCGAAGAGAAAAAATGCAAGCTTGGTATAATTTCAAAAGTAACCCAACGCCATAAAATCTTATTAATGTGCTTCACAATAGCGAAAGGAAAAACACCTGGCTTCGACCGAATTTCTTACAAGATTTTAAAAGAAATGTCTCATCTTGGAAAATCTCGATTGATATGTATCTATAACACTATATTTGATACCGGTATAATACCACAAAACTGGAAAGTCGCCACTGTAGTTCCTATCCCTAAGGCAAATAAAATTCCCCTTTTCAACTGACGGACACCGTCCTATTTCTTTTCTCTCTTGCTTTCAAAAGTGCTAGAACGGATAATAGCAAATCGCATTGCATGGTTCACTGAGTCGCAGTTACTCATCAACTCTAACCAAGTAGTCTTCAGACCTAACAACGGCTGTCCAGACGCCCTCCTGCACATAGACTTCTATGTGACAAAAGCTCTCAGCCCGCAATCACGTCTCCATGCTATCACTAGATTTTGATAAAACATTTGACCGGATAGGACTCCATGTCA